GCAAGAAGCAAACCGCCTTCAAGTTCTGAACCACAACTACGGCCGAGGCTTTGTTGAGGTAATTTATTTATCAGAAATTTTTTTTTTTTTTTAAGTACCGATTGTTCAGAAAAAAAGTATTGTTTGGGTATTAAAATTTCCTAAATACCTCTTAATGAATTTTTTTTTCATGTTTATTTATTAATGATATTTTGATAATTTTAATACTTAAATTATATCTTTTTGTACAATGCATCCTATGTACATATTTGTGTCTTAAATTTTGTTAGTTTTTAATTTTATATTAAAAAAAATAATTTTTTAAATGAATGTATTGTATAGTATATTAAATTAGATTATGTAGTATGTACCAATCAATATGTATATCTTTATTTATAATTGTGTGTTAATTTAAATGAAAGAGTCGATTAATTTATCATTTGAATAGTATCAAAATGTAAAATAAAAACTCTTCAATGATAGTATGACCTTTAATATCAAGAAATTTGCTTCTAATCTAATAGTTTATATATGTTTTATAATTTAATATAGTTTAAACTATATAATATTTTTTCTCTAAATGTAATATGGATTGTATTCCGTGTGAAAATTCTTTTATTAATTCGGCTATCATGATCCCAGTAGACGAGTATTTTGTCGTCTTGATTTTGATTATGAATGTAATCTAATTTGTGCCTAACAATTCATGAGGCTAATTGTCTACAATTGTACTTGCGTACTCATAGTTCTTTACTAATAATGTTCTTCGTTAATGGCATTTGAACATTTCTAGCATGGTTCTGAATTTTTTTTTTTTATTGTCAGAGTTTGAAATTTCAGAACATATATATACCAGGTAGAGATTTTTTGGACTGTCGATTTCAGTTATCCGTAACGTATGAAACACCATGGGGAATAATATTATTTATAGCTAATAACAACTACATTTTCATCACTACCACATCAATAGAGGCCAGAAGTGTCTAGGCAACATAGCCTTCATGCTCATGAGGTCCCCCATGGGATTACATCCATGAGAAGAAAAGGTGTTATTGCACCATTAATTGGGACTTGGTACCGGGCTCATTGGATTTTAGTGACTACCTTGCCTTGCTTTTTAGTTGCTAGCTTCGACCACAACAAACAAGTAACACCATCAATGGTCCATCGGACCACGAAGGGATGAAAATAATGCCAAAATCAATGTCTATCCTTCTCATCCACGTGACTCTTATTGATATTTAATCTATATCAAACATTTGATCAACTTAACAAATTCTTTAAACTAAAACTAATATATATGACTTTAAATGTGGAGAAGTGGAGCAACAAGTTGAAGATCGAAGTGTTGAGGATGGGTCCAAAAATGGGCTGGAGGCTCCTTATGTGCAGATAACCCGACCGGACAGGACAGAGAAAAAACGCAGAAGCTTGGGAACGATTTATGCAGAGGTTATTGGGATGGAGGAAGCAAGGAAAGTAGGCACCACCTGGGTCACGGCCAAGACAAAGGCTCGAAGAAATAGAAGAGACACAGACGTGCGAGGGGAGGAATTGCAGATGGAAAGTTGTTCTCTGTCAGATGGGTGCATCCAACACCAGAATGAGGTGATTCGAAAGCAGCTACAGATGGGGGAAGTGAGAGAGCTGTTTGTGATGGGGCAGACTTTGGGGATTCAATGCCAACAAAATGATGAAGAGGTGATCTCTAGGTTGGCGGCTTTAGAGGAGAGGGATGGAGCCACCTTCGGACGTGCCTGATGCGTCGGGACTGGTTTTTTGGGAGGTATGTGAGTTATGAGTTTTAATAATGAAGGTGATTTCTTTTAATGTTAGGGGTTTGGGTAGTGTGATTAAGAGAAAGGAGATTTTTAATTTGGTGAGTAAGGAGAAACCGGATTTTCTATTTATTCAGGAAACAAAATTAGAGGGGGTTGAGGTTTCTCTGTGTAGAAAGTTGTGGTATTTTGAGGATTTTGACTGGGTTATGCAAAAATCAGTGGGCAATTCAGGAGGTTTGTTGTCTATATGGAATAAGAGCAATTTTGTTAAAGAAAGAGTGATAGAAGGAAATGGTTTTATTGGGAATTCAGGGGAGTGGGGAAAGCAGCGGTTGAAGTGTAACCTGGTTAATGTGTATGCTCCATGTGATAGGCAAAGGAAGGCTATGTTGTGGGAGGAGTTGGGTAGTTTAGTACTGGAAGAGGGTGGTAGATGGCTCTTAGCAGGGGCTTTTAACGCAGTAAGGAATGTGGCAGAGAGGAAGGGGAGACTAGGTGAGACACAGGACATGGGAGATTTTAATCAATTCATTGAGGAGTGTGGGTTAATAGATGTTAGACTGAGGAATAGGAAATTCACCTGGTACAGACCCGATGGTTCTTCAATGAGTAGGTTGGATAGGGTTTTGTTATCCACAGAAATGAGTTTATTGGATAGAGAGTGGGTTCAAGTTGGTATGCGAAGATCGATTTCAAATCATTGTGCACTGATTTTGACGTCAAGAAATACAGATTGGGGTCCCAAGCCTTTTCGAGTACTTGACGCATGGCAACAACACCCCAATTTCAAAGGTTTTGTGGAGGATAAATGGAAGACTTTGCAGATTGAAGGATGGGCGGCTTTCAAATGTAAACAGAAGCTGAAATTAGTAAAAAATGAATGCAAGGGGTGGAATAGAGGGGTGTTTAGTAATGTGGAGATTCAACTGGATACACTGTTAAAGCATATTGAGAGGTTGGATAAAAAAAGTGAGGCAAAGGAGCTGAGCGAAAATGAGGTGCTATTGAGAAAGAAATGCTTTCAGGAGATGTGGGACATTTTTCGAAGGAAAGAAGCTGTGTGGAAGCAAAAATCAAGGAACAATTGGGTTCGTTTGGGTGATGCAAATACAGCTTTTTTCCACAGATGTGTGCAGACAAGGAGGGCACAGAATGCAATATCTGGTATCTTAGGGGAGGAGGGATGGATTGAGGAACCCAAGTTAGTTAAGGCAAAGGCAGTTAAATATTTTAATGAGTTATTTCACAAGGAACAGTGGAGTCGGCCTGTAATGGGAGGGATCCAATTTCGTAAAATCTCTACAGCACAAAAGGAGTGGCTAGAACGACCTTTTTCCATAGAGGAAATTGAAGAGGGTCTTCGAAGCTGTGATGGGTCAAAGGCACCAGGCCCAGATGGATACAATTTCAATTTTATAAAGTTTGCTTGGAACACGTTGAAGGATGATTTTGTGAATTTTTTGATAGAATTCCATCAACATGGGAGGTTAGTTAAAGGCCTAAACTCCTCTTTCTTGGCATTAATTCCTAAAAAATTGAATCCAATGCAATTTAAAGAGTATAGGCCCATTTGTCTGATTGGTTGTTTGTATAAATTATTGGCGAAAGTTTTAGCAAATAGGTTGAAGAGGGTAATGGCAGATATTATAAGTGAGTCACAATCAGCTTTTGTTGGAGGTCGTCAGTTGGTGGACAGTGTGTTGGTTTTGAATGAGGTAGTTGATAAGGTGAAGAGAAAGAAACAGGAGAGCTTTATTTTTAAGGCTGACTTTGAAAAAGCATATGATTGTGTGGATTGGGACTTTCTTGATTGGATGATGGACAGAATGGGGTTTGGAGTTAAATGGAGAAAGTGGATTTGGGAATGTCTCTCAACAGCCAGGATTTCTATTTTACTAAACGGAAGTCCGACGTCGGAATTTTCAATTAGCAAAGGTCTTCGACTAGGTGATCCTTTGTCCCCTTTTCTGTTTTTATTAGTAGGTGAAGGGCTGTGTGGGCTGGTGAAAAAAGCAGAGAGTGAAGGGTTGTTGAAAGGTCTGGAAATTGGGAGGGGTGGTATGGAGTTGTCATTATTACAGTTTGCAGATGATACTGTTTTTATGGGAAAGGCATGTGCAGGGAATTTAAAGGTTGTGAAAGCCATTTTGCACTGGTTTGAACTGATTTCAGGATTAAAGATAAATTTTAGCAAAAGTCATTTGTATGGGTTTAACACTTCAGAAGGGTGGTTAAAGGGAGCAGCTCATATCTTGCATTGTGGGGTAGGAAGGGTGCCTTTTATCTACCTTGGTTTGCCGGTTGGAGGGAATCTGGGGAGGAAAAAGTTTTGGAATTCTGTTCTGGATCGTTTTCGTCATAAGCTCGCCACTTGGAAAAGCCCACTACTGTCCTTTGGAGGCCGGATTACATTAATTAACTTGGTACTATCTGCTCTTCCTATTTTTTATTTATCTTTATTTAAAATTCCTAAATGTGTGATTGTTGAATTGATTAAAATTCAAAGGAATTTTTTTTTTGGGGGGGAGTGAAGTCCGAAAAGAAGATTTCTTGGGTTAGTTGGGATTCTTTGTGTGTGGAGAAGGGAAGAGGGGGATTAGGAGTAGCTGATTTAGAGAGGAGAAATTTTGCTTTGCTGGGTAAATGGTGGTTTAGACTAGGTGATGGGGTGGATGGTTTATGGAAGAGAGTGATTTGGGAGAAATATTATGGGGGGAGGAGAGAGGTGGATATCACTTCTTTTGAATCTTTGACGATGTCTCGTGTGTGGAAGGATATTGTGAGTGTGGGTAGAGGGTTTGCAAGGTTAGTGGAGATGTTAGTAAAAGGCTTTAAATGGAAAGTTGGTGAGGGAAGATTTGTAGATTTTTGGAGGGATAAATGGGTGGGAGATAAGTCCCTGAAAGATTTATTTCCGAGGTTGTTTGCGTTAACTACTATTAGGGAGGGAAGGTTGAAGGATATGGGTTTTTGGAGGGGTGATACTTGGGTATGGGATTGTAGATGGCGACGTGGATGTGTAGGGAGGGCTGTTGGTGAGGAGGGACAATTTAGGGAAATGATTAATGGGGTAAGGTTGAGGAGGGAGGAAGCAGATTCTTGGCAATGGCTTCATGGTAGAGATGGTATTTATTCTGTAAAGGCAGCTTATGATTTTTTATCACCGAAAGTTTGTGTTCTGGATGAGAATTGGTCTCGGATTATTTGGAGTAAATATGTTCCTTCTAAGTTGAGTGTTTTTGGGTGGAGATTATTTTTGGATAGGTTGGCCACTAAAGAGAATTTGTATAAGAGAGGAATTTCGTTGACAGGTGGGGATGTTAGTTGTGGATTTTGTCATGAGGGGGTGGAGGGGCTTCATCATATTTTTTGTGAGTGTGAAGGGGTGTGGTTAGTATGGATGAAGGTTTTGGGATGGTGGGGTTTACAAAGTGTTTTGCCAAATGATATATTTGGTTTGGCGGAGTCGGTGGTGTATGGAATAAGAGGGGGATGCTTGAAGGAGCTGGAAGCCCTTATTTTTTTGGTAACTGCTTGGTTAGTGTGGTACTGGAGGAATATGAAAGTGTTTGGACCAGTTTTACAGGCTGAAGTGAGGTTATTGGAATCTATTCAAGCAAAATCTTTTTTATGGATTAAAAATAAAGAGCCAGGATGTGTGTTTTCTTATACAGATTGGATATCAAGACCTATGGATTGTAAAGAAGCCATAGTTCAACATCGTCATAATCTGAAGAAATACAAGAAGATGCAGTGCATTGTGATCTAAGCTACTTGGGGTTTTTTTTGAGTTATTGTGGCACCGTTTCTAATTGTTTTTAGCTATTGGACAATTGTTTTCTTTTGCACTTTTGATTTTTTCTCTTCTGTTGATGTAGTGGTTTAACGTTTGTATTTGGAGGTGGAGTATCCCTTATACTCCGAGAGGAATATAATGACTATTTGTTTTGCTGATCAAAAAAAAAAAAAATATGACTTTAACAAATTCTTTAAACTAAAACTAACATATATGACTTTTAAAAATTTAACACTTATATATGATTCACAATTGTAACTTTTTCTTGATATGAGATTTGAAATGTGCCCATATTGAAATGTTACAAAAAAACAAAAGATGATACATAAGGGTTCTAGTATCCAATCACCAATATACATATATGCTTTCATTTTCCACATTTTATACACAAAGTGTGACTAATGTGCAGGGCACATAAGTAGTTTTATGTCTCCCTATTGTGTCATTGATGACTCTAAAAACAAGGGCCGAGTGCGAATTAATTATGTTAATTATTTTTTAATATGGTTTGTGTGAATAAATTATAGCGAGACAGAGATGCTCTTTTCTGTTATATTCATGCATACCATCCTCCTCAAATAATTTCACATTTTTTCAGTACATCCATATCTCCATTACTAGGAAAAATATGAATAGTCTGATCCCATAATAATGCAACCACTATGGAACAGTTTAATTCCCTTATGCACTTTGCTGGCCGACTTTTTGTTATGTATATCTCAACAAAGTCAAGAGAAGGAGATTTTTGGTTTTTGGGTCTAAGCTCTTGCTTGTAAGTATAGTTGTATGTACATAATAATTGGATTAAACCCCAAGGTTAGATCTACTAATATGTGAGTGTTATTTTATAAATTAAGTTTAAAATTTAAGTTTTGGGACTAGTACTTAAAAAAGTTAATTTTTTTAAATGTATCATATTGATATAGATGTGCATTTTTAAGATCTCTTAAAAATATATTAATTTTAAAGTGAGCAAAAATTAATTTAGAAACACTTTAACTATAAATATATATAAAAAAATTGGATTAAACTTGTGTTGACACTCATGTGTACATACACTAAGCTAAATTTTAGTAGTGTCAAAAATAAGATATTCATACTTGCCTCTAGAAATTCTAGAACAATATATCGATGGACTCCATCAATCCAAGTTTTTTTAAGTGTAATTGAGATACTTATCAGCATCCTTATATCAGGCATGGCATGTGGAGGAGATAAAGACGGTACTGATTGGTTGTTGGCAGATATGATTATAGGACGTTACAATTGAAGGGACAAGTAATTAGTTCAAATCATGTATCAACTAATTAAGGATAGACACTGCTGCAGCATGTGGACTGTATCTGTCACATATATCACATATATTTTACATCGGACGGTCGGGAGAAATTTCGAAAAATAGAAAAATATTCTATTTTGTATATATAGCTGATCTTCAAATGTACAAAAAAAAAAAAAGAAAAAAAGAAAAAAGAAGAAGATAAGCATGCAGGACAAGACAAACCCTAATTATGCAAACTTAGATCGAAAATAATTGAAACAGAAAATTAATATGCTTTTCATTCGGGTCCCATCTTTCTTTCTTCATGGTACAATTGACAAATAATATAAGTGGTTACATAAATCCCACAGCCCAGATTTTTTGAGAATATATCTGTACCTTTCTATCTTGAAAAGCTGAGTACGTACAATTAACCTCGATTATGACCAGACTGATGAAGCAGATAACAGGGTCTAATCTCATCCTTTTAAAAAGGGGAAAAAAATATCTCTCTAGATCTGGTTATGCACTATATAATTATCTCTTGATTTGAAAGAAATGTTCGCTCCTTTCCTTTCCCTTTCTTATTTGATTATATTAAAATTATCTTTTTATTAAAAAAGAAAGCTTCTACTCTCCTTCAAATTCTTGTTATCTAAATGGGGATTCCTTCAAAATGTTCTCTTTGATAAATTTTTGGGCCAAAGAAAAGGAAGTTTCTCTTTCTCAAAACCCCATGCATCTTCTAATCTGTGTTAGCAAAATTTGATTTAGAAGTTTCATACTCAAAAACGTTAGAATGTCAGTGTCTACTGATTTATTACTAGACTGAAACTCATTGAATGAAGCGACAAATGGTCACTGTTCCACTTTTTCACGTCATTTTGATGCAAGTTGTATAAAAGTTTCTGTTCAGCGTACGGGTCCATAAAGATAATGCCAAAAGGGAAGCTTATAATTAGCTTTTTGAACATAAGTATAGGGACTTCCCCAAGGACTAAGGGGGGCCGCCATTATATCTTACAATGGCATTAAGTTAAGTGGCATCTCTACCTAACTGCAATGAACAAAAGATGAAGAAGAAGGTTGATATTGCATGCGTTCACTCAAAAAGAAAGTTTTATTTTCTTTCTTTATTCATGATAGTGCTCTTAGTTTCTAAGCTTTCGACTTGACAAAGCAGCAATGGAGGAGACAAGAGTCACACACAGAGGCTAACCGCATTAGCTATGGCCTACGTGTGTAGTGACTTAGCTTCGGCAATGCTCCAATTATATTCCACTTTTCGCGGAGGAAATGAGTCTTTTTAGCCATAAGAGCATCTTGACATTGACAATAGCCACCAAGTGGCTTAATGGTATGGGGACAGTTGTAGTCTATTATGTGACGATTGTTGGATGCAATAATATTGGCTTGCCATTTCAATTGCATGTTGTACAAGTAAGGGATATGCGGAGTAAAAGAGACCAGCTTAATACAGTAATGGTTGAATTCAAAATTTGTATCACATCAATTATTTAAAATTTCAAATTAATTATTTAACGTAAGACTGTAAGTGAATCTGACTCTGTTTTCATTGTAAATTTGCCTCTCTCCTTCCTTCTTGGTTCTGCCCCTTTTTGATTGAGTTGATTCTAATATCAGATTTTGAAAGCCGGCTTTGTTAGTTTCTTTGGTTTTTTAAAGAGCGCGTGTGTGTGATTTCTTAATTATCAACCATGGAAGCTTAATGCTAGAATTATGTATATAGTTGATTCTGGTAATTACTATCCTAGATAAGGTTATTGGTTTATTAATAGACATTTATTATTTCTTACTATATATATATATATATAGTCATTGAGTTGGCCATGTTATACAACAAAAAGGTTAAGGTAGCTAATGTTATATAATCTAGTCCATCGGGCAAGTGGGAATCACACATATATTCGGCTCTCAAATGATTTTGTTTAATTTCGCTAAAAGCATAACATTAAACAACCTAATTGAGATTACATATTAGCTAACTGATTAGCTTCATCACTTTTTAGATGAATTAAAATCTATTAACTTGAAGTATAAGGGATATTCCTACTCAAATACAACCACTACAACATAAAATTATACTACATATTGAATTTCATGTGGTCCAAATTAAAACAAGAGCTCCGCGAATGAAAGTGCAATAATGGGAACTAAATAACTCTAATACAAACTTTGGAACTAAGAACCATTGATGAAATGCAAAAACACTCCCATCTATCTTTTTTCTCAGAACCAAATGAAAGACCTACGAATCATCTCTAAAACTAAATTCTCATCAAAACTAAATTCTCATCCCAAGAATTAGAACTGTGCGAGATAGAATTTCTCACAAACTATATGCACTAGGCAGACACATAGAACATAAATGACCATGCCTCCACTTGAACACGATTCTCTACTCTCACAAAGTTGTTGAACAGTGTTTGGAGCTATGAAATTTAATCCCCACCAGCTATAATACCTCTTCCACAGCTTTTGTATTTTCTTTTGTACATTTGACAAATAAGTAGTTACTAGTGTTATCATTAACAGTATGTATAACCTTGGTTGGGCCAGCTTGTGCATACTCAAAACTAATTCTTCTTCAAAAGATTTTAAGTGTGGTGCCTACTCCACATTGACTTTATTATTATTATTTTATTTGAACAGTCAAAATGTTTCTTTGAATCAGCATATTGTACTTAACTGTTGAGCTCTAAATTTCTTTAGATACTACACTCAACACTTAAACTCTAAATTTGATTTATAAAATACCATTTATTGATGAGTTGACACAACTCTTAGATTTACCCCATGGCTTCATATTATAAGAAATGCAATTATCTTAGTACCCGAAGAAAGCAGTACATCCACCAGCACATGGAATGCACAAATAATTGTCATAAAGGAAATTAAAAATATTATCATACAGGAATCTCACTCTTTCTTTCTTCCTTTTTCACCCTAATTCGTTTGTCCCTTTTTCCTTGGTATTTAGGGTACGGATGCGGGATACATAAAGGTAATTAAGGTTTTCTTTCTCTCCTTTAAGTGTTTCTCTCTTATTGAGGATTTGTTACCCTTTTTTGAAGTTTTTACTAGGCTTTTTCAATGATTTTCATTGAGTCTTGCCCCTAACAAAGATGGAATTGAAGACAACATAGTTGGGAAGTGAGGTCCGTAGATAATCTTTCTGCCCAAAAAATAAAGCATCGAATGTTTCAGACGTATGGTAGTCTTTTTTAAAAAATTTGTTTCAGAACTAAAATAAGCATTTAACTCCTCACCTTAATAAATTTGAGGTTTTTAGCTCCTAACTTTATATGATAAAGTTTTTAACTCTTAAATTTAAAGTTTTGAAAATTTTAATTCTTAAACTAACAAAATTTGATAACTTTCTTCTAAAGTAAGAATAAAATATTTGTAGATTCAATTCTCAAAAATTAAAAATATAACAATTTAATTTCAAAAGTTTCAAAATTAAAAAAATTAATAAATTAAAAATAATTAGTAGATGATTTTGCCACACACATGAGAACAATATTAGATATTTATAATCAAATTGAGTGATTAACTTAATTTAAAGAAAAAAATTTAATTGAGATTAAAAAAAATTACTTTAGTGTATTCTTCTAATCTCTTATACTTTCTGCCTTAGTAAAATTTTCTTTAATCTTAATCAAAATTCTTTCTTTGTTCAATTCATTTAGTTGATTATAAATATTTAATACTGTTCTAGTACATGTAAAAAAGTCATCTATTAATTCTTTTTAGTTTACTAATTTTTTTTAATTTTTTAATTTTTTGAACTAAATTATTACATTTTTAATTTTTGAGAACTAATTTTGTAAATATTTTATTTTTATTTTAATTTTAATGAATAGTTAA